TTCAGTTTTTTTACTTGGATATAAATTATAAACACAAGTACATGAATTTTAAGACCTGGAATGACGTAGACTGAGGCCCTTACTTACCCTAAAAAGCCCTTAGGGGAAATGTAAATGAAGTATAAAGCAAAATATCCCCCAAGTCCTTAATACAACTCTCAAAGTCCAATTCATTTTCATAAGATTTTTCTGAACACAAAAGACAAGTCCATGCAGTGACTCAAGTCCAATGATGAGGTTATTTGGTACTTTAATCTATCAAGTCCAAAAAGACGTTGTTAAATTGGGATATTTTCTTCACACTCAGGCAAACACAAGTGTATATTAAGTCCAAGACCATGCAGTAATTTCCAAAGCCCAAGGAGGCCTTTTGTTAAGTCCTGGTGGGAAGGCTGATTGGCCGGTTGGGAAGCTAAGGAATGCTGCTGATTGGCCGGTTGGGAAGCTAAAGAATGCTGCTGATTGGCCGGTTGGGAAGGTGAGGAATGCTGCTGATTGGCCGGTTGGGAAGGTGAGGAACGCTGCTGATTGGCCGGTTGGGAAGCTAAGGAATGCTGCTGATTGGCCGGTTGGGAAGCTAAGGAATGCTGCTGATTGGCCGGTTGGGAAGCTAAGGAATGCTGCTGATTGGCCGGTTGGGAAGCTAAGGAATGCTGCTGATTGGCCGGTTGAGAAGTTGAAGAAAGCTGCTGATTGGCCGGTTGAGAAGTTGAAGAAAGCTGCTGATTGGCTCTCGTTCATATACTATCTTGAGACTAATTCCCTTTTCTCTATGCCATAATTATTCATTCTTTTCCCATTTCTCTTCTTTATCATTTCCTTTAACCTTGTCTTCGTTAAGTTTTGCTTCATTCTCACTTTTATTTGAGTTTCTTTCTCTTCATTTCTCTTCGTATTTGTTTTATCATTTTCTTTGTCTTGATTCTTTGTTTTCTTCTTGTTTATTCTCTCCTTCTCCTCGTTTATTATCTCCTTCTTCTTCTTCTTCTTCTCGTAATTCGCTATTTTCTTATTCTTTATAGCTATCATTCTTGGACCAGTTAATTTACGTTTATTCCCCTTTCTCTTCCTCCTTCCTCCTCTGCACTTTCTCTTCCTCTCGTTTCTTCTCTTCCTCTTTCCTCTTCTTCTCTCTCTCCTCCTCTTCATCATTATCAACCGTCTTCTCCTCTTCTTTTCTTTATTTCTTGTTTTTTTAATATTGTTATAGTTTGGGGTCTGATATTGTTTAGTTAACGTTAATAAATATTCGTTTTCTTTGATGTGATTTTCTGTCGTATCTAAACCCATTTTCTTTAATTTTTTATATTTCATTCTTATTCGTTTTCTCCTGTGTATCTGATTTTCCTCATCTTTATTCTGTTTTGTATCACTTTCTCTATATCTTGTTTCCTGTGTTTTATCCATTTCTCTATATTTATTGTCCTGTTTATTATGTTTTGTGCTTATTCTTGTTTTTATTGTCAGTTTTGCTTCCTGTGTGATTGTTTTTTCTTCATTTTTTAAGAAGCGAAAGAAGGCAATAAGGATAATTAGAATGACTGGACCTTCAAATCTCACATTCAGGGGTAATTAAGGTCTATCCAGGGCTGTTACAACGCTCGATTGGTTCCTAGGGGCTTTAAAGAATTCATTATTTAGGGTTAGTATTTATTTCTTAATATCTGTAAAGGCTGGCAATTCACCTAAGGGCTTTTCAGGATTTAATAAGGGCTTCCCAAGAGCTATTAATTATTTCTAAGGGCTATTGTTAGTTTTGAAGGGCCAATAGAGGCTAATACTCCACCAACATGCATAGAAATAAGGGTCATTCAATATTCAGACTTACCCTCGCTGCCCTTGGTGTAAGGTCGGCCCCTACTCTCTCCCGTTGGTCTGGTAGGAGGGACCTGATTGCTCAGTCCCTCCTCCAACTCCTTCTTCAGGTCCCAATCAGTCAAAAGGTCTGGGTCCTTGAAGTAATCCTCAGCAGTGTGACCAAACTGCGTGAGGGTGAGAGAGGGCCTTGTTAGTTGTATGACCCTAAATTTAAGGGTAAAAATGTCTCCAAGGCTGTGACCAGATTAGGATTTAAGGTCGACCAGATAAGGATTTAAGGTCGACCAGATTAGGATTTAAGGTCGACCAGATAAGGATTTAAGGTCGACCAGATAAGGATTTAAGGTCGACCAGATAAGGATTTAAGGTCGACCAGATAAGGATTTAAGGTCGACCAGATAAGGATTTAAGGTCGACCAGATAAGGATTTAAGGTCGACCAGATAAGGATTTAAGGTCGAGTTAAAATTTATCTCAGGTCTATAATATTAGTCTTTAAAATCCTCACAGACCTTTTAAAGACCAACAGAATTAAGTACTAGACCTAAATCCTTATCTAGGGAAGTTAAATATGGGATTAATTTAAATCAACTCCCTAAAATCCCTTAAATTCCCCAGATACTTAAAAATTACGTAGAAAATCCCCTAAAAATTCCTTACATAACTCTAAAATCCCCACAGCCCTAAAAATTACTTAAAATCTCACTAAAATCCCTTAAGTACCCCCGAAAAATCCCTATCAACCCAAAAAATTCAAAACAAGAAAATCCAAAACCAGACCTGATCTTTGCGCGTCTCGTCTCCTCCAGCGTCCAGTAGTGTGTGGTAGAGGTGCCCTTCGTCCCTTAGGGTACCAGAGTAGTGTAAGGGTGTCCGGCCAGCCAGGTCCTCTTGGTGGATCAGTTCAGGGTATTTCCGGCTCAGGGATTCGGCCAGACCTGAAATGTGGGCGGAGTTATTGTAATATTAGGAGGGTTGTGATTGGTTGGTTGATTCTTATGTTGTTTTGGGTTGGGATTCTCTCTCTCTCTCACCTCTTCTCTCACTTCCCTCCCCCCCCCTTTCTCTCATCTCTCACCTGTGTGACTGTAGACTACAGCTTTGTGGAGAATATTGCAATGGTTGGCGTCTCTGGTGTAAGCTTTCTTCCGCGTGTCCAAAAGCCCCATAACCTTTCTTGTCTCCCCTTCCTCCGCTGCCTTATGTAGTTCCTCAATAGACTCCTGCAATTGGGTAGTTCGGTTGTTAGTGGGTTTTTACCTCTCTTTACAAGGTAGTTAAGGTTTGTTTACATTGTTTATTAGGTGGTTAGGACATTAATTGTATGTTTTTTTGAGGGGGGTTTGGTTGTGAGGTATATTTGTGTGATTAGTGGTTGTTTACGTCTGTTTACTAGGTAGTTAAGGCTTGTTTACTTGTTTACAGGGTAGTTAAGACACTAATTGCATATTCTTGTGAGTGATTTATCAACTTATCCAACACAACTTTGTAAAAAAACATGATTTACATTTCTAAGATGTAATTTACACGTACTCTGAGCATGTCCTGGTTATTTACAAGTGGTTAAGTGTATATCTGTAAAAGAAAATGCAATTATTAAGCTTTACCTTAGGTGTTTAAGCTGACATGCTCATTTACAAAGCTGTTGTTTACATGTTTAAACTAGAGGTCATATCCATTTAAAATTTTGCTGTTTACAAACTTGCTGTAAATATGACTTAACCTGGACAAGAATATTTACAAAACACGTGAATTTACACATTTACACAACACAAAATTGGTGAATTTACAACATCCTACGAACTACGACACACGAACACACGTATATATGACTTCTTTAAACTACGACACACACACAAAAACAGCCAATAGGAAACGTTAAAATTACTATACAAACACAACAGCCAATAGGAAACGTTAAAATTACTATACAAACACAACAGCCAATAGGAAACGTTAAAATTACTGTACAAAGACAACAGCCAATAGGAAACGTTAAAATTACTATACAAACACAACAGCCAATAGGAAACGTTAAAATTACTATACAAACACAACAGCCAATAGGAAACGTTAAAATTACTATACAAAGACAACAGCCAATAGGAAACGTTAAAATTACTATACAAAGACAACAGCCAATAGGAAACGTTAAAATTACTATACAAAGACAACAGCCAATAGGAAACGTTAAAATTACTGTACAAAGACAACAGCCAATAGGAAACGTTAAAATTACTATACAAAGACAACAGCCAATAGGAAACGTTAAAATTACTGTAGCCAATAGGAAACGTTAAAATTACAGCAACAATAGGAAACGTTAAAATTACTATACAAAGACAACAGCCAATAGGAAACGTTAAAATTACTATACAAAGACAACAGCCAATAGGAAACGTTAAAATTACTATACAAAGACAACAGCCAATAGGAAACGTTAAAATTACTATACAAAGACAACAGCCAATAGGAAACGTTAAAATTACTATACAAAGACAACAGCCAATAGGAAACGTTAAAATTACTATACAAACACAACAGCCAATAGGAAACGTTAAAATTACTATACAAAGACAACAGCCAATAGGAAACGTTAAAATTACTATACAAAGACAACAGCCAATAGAAAGCCACAAAACCACAACATATATTACAAAACCCAGACAGACAAACACAAAAGGAGTTAACTAAACACAAGGACGGGTATAAAAAATAAGATACCATGCTCTAGAATCCTACCAGGTATCGTGGGACTTTTTCAAGGAACTCATTGACGTCAGGATCCCGAGATGACTGTCCTACGAGCTTGACTCCATCACCCTGCATAATCAAATCACTTAAAGGTGAATAGTTCTCATCATCCTCAGCAGCAGTAATGGCCTTGTCTACATCCTCATCTCTCTCAGCACTAGTTCTAGGAGTTGCAGCTCTAGATGGGCCATGGGAATCACTCCTAGATGCCCCTCTAGATGGCCCTCTGGATGGCCCTCTGGATGGCCCTCTAGATGGCCCTCTGGATTGGCTCGAGATGTAGTTTTCTGCGTTTATTTTGTTCGGGGATTTGAGGTATTCTTCCGCGGTGTGGCCATCCTGGTGGGTCAGGTCAGGTCAAAGGTCACAGGAGGTCAAATGAATAGGTGGAATATAAGATAGATAGATAGATAGATATATAGATAGACAGACAGATAGACAGAAAGACAGACAGACAGACAAGACGAGTTAAGTACAGAGTTAATATTTTCAAGACACTAATAAGTAAACACAACACTACTAAGTTACTTAACACTTATAAAACAAATATTAAAGTAGAGTTTTGTTATTAAGTTCGTATTAATAACTTATAAGCGACCTGTCTTAATAGTCGGTATATTAATGGGTCCCTGTTCTAAGGGTTAGGTTAGGTTAAGGTCAATTAGGGGAGGGACACCTTTAAGCTTTTACTGTCGAGAATAAGGTCAAGCTTACCGTGTACTGTAAGCTTAGATACTGTAATAACAACAACAACAATAATAATAATAATAATAATAATAATAATAATAATAATAATAATAATAATAATAATAATAATAATAATAATAATAATAGCAATAACAACAACAATAACAAGCACACTAATCAGGTCTCTCTCTCTGGCACTCACCAGGTCTTGGGCACCCTCGCTGGCACCCTCCCGTAACAAGAGGTCATACACGTTTTGACTCTCCTTGGCACCTGTTAGCCCGGCGTAGTGCAGCGGCGTACGACCATTCTGTGGAGAGGTCAAAGGTCAGAGAGGTCAGAGAGGTCAATACTATCAGAGGTCACATATATTTATTACAATTATCATGTATGTATGTATGTATGTGTATGTATGTATGTATGTACGTACCTGGTCTTCTACACTAACACCATCTGGATATAGACTCAGGAGGTGTTTAACCATCTGTGTGTTGCCTGAACCAGCTGCCAGATGGAGAGCCACGGCGCCATCTTTGCCTCGAGCCATCGCCAGCTTGTCATTGTCCTTCGTCAGGCGTTTGACCGTCCGTACGTCGCCCTTAGCTGCTGCTTCATGTAGTGAGGTGATCTTCTCCTGAGTGTGAGAGAGAGGGGTGAGTGGGGGGAGGGTGAGAGTGAGGGAGAGGGAGAGTGAGGGAGGAAAAGTTCAAGGCTACCAAACAGTGCTACCAACACCAGGGTGGAGAAGGGGGGGGAGGGGAGGGAGTGAAGTGGCGTTACAGTGTTGCTAATGTTCTATTATGTATAAATGAGGGTAATATACTGCTCTCTCTCTCTCTCTCTTTCTCTCTCTCTCTCTCTCTCTAAAACCCTAATAAAACAAAACAACATCGCATATACAGTATAAGACCAGATGAACCACAAAACAAAAGAACATCAACAACACCACGAGACACAATAAACATCACACCACCACACAAGACATCATACTTCACTATCATACTCGTATATCAAGTATTATACCAAGAAAAAACACCTAACATTCCAAGAAACCGTAAAAAATAAATAAATATGACTTCTTTCAATATTTACATTCTCCAGTGATCTGTTATTACCACTTCGGGGGAGTCTGGAGTTTATGATAATTACTTCACTTATAATCTTACAACCAATCAGAAAGTGTGGGGCTCTTATCTGCTGACCAATCACGATGGTAAGTTTTTTATCTGTGGTCCAATCTTGAATGTGATCCTCTTCCTCCCTGGACGTGTGGTGTTGGAGCCTGTCATTAGTGTTGTTTTTAATCGTTTTCTGGCGCCAATATCGTTATTATTTTGTTTTTTTTAATAAAGAATTGAAGGTTAAAGATATGGCCTCGTCTTCTTATAACAGATAGAGATTAATGTATCGTCTTGACCTACTTAAAATATAGCAAGATCCTTTTTAGGGATTTTTAGGGATTTATAACATAACTAGGGACCTTTTTTAGGGATTTTTTAAAAGATCACATAATTAGGGACTTCTAGGGATTTTTTTAGGGATTATTTAAAGACTTACCACATAACCAGGGACTTTTTTGAGGAATCGACGGACTTGTTCATTCCAAGAGGACCTTCCATGCAAGTCCGACCCACGTCCAGAAAGGATCACGTACTCTAAGCTTTCCACGTCCCCATCCCGTATGTACTTTTCAATATCCTTGTCCGTGACGTCCTTGAGATCCTTGTACTCATTCTGGAGGGAGAGTTAGAGTACGGGGGAGGATGAGTACATGTGCTTATATGAGTACAAAAGTGAAAAAAGTACAGTTTATATCTGCAAATCTATGTATGTATGTATGTATGTATGTATGTATATGAGTGTATCTATCTATGAATGTATATATGATATGTGTATTTGTTTATGTACGTCACTCCAAGTATACATATATGTGTATGTACATCTGTGTAAGTATACATGTACACATAACTCACCTTATGACTGTTTCTCCTGGACTTGTTGTGTACGCCTTTCTTGTTCTTCTTGTTATCACTACCGAGTGAGTTTTTCCTACTTGGGTTAAGAGACCTGTGGAAGATAGTGAGATAGTGAGATAGTGAGAAAGATAGATACATACATATTAATAGATATTTATACAGTATATCTAGAGGGGAGTCTGAACTCTCTCTCTCTCTCTCTCTCTCTCTCTCTCTCTCTCACCTGCCATTGGTCCTGGAGGGCGCCCGAGAGTTCTGATTAGACGGACCTCTGGATTGGCCCGACGGAATATCCAAAGTAGATCCTCCCGCCCTCGGTGCCGACAGTGATTCATACACCACCCCGAGGTCCATCTCCGAGGGTTTGTAGCGGTAATGTTCAGCTGTTTTATTATACTGTAGGAGAGTGTATGTATATGTCAGTGGCTGTATACACTCGCTATACACTGATACAACCTCTATACACATGCTATATACTTATACAATTCATCATACACTTATACAATACCCCATACACCCACCCACTCACCCAGCCCACCCACCCACCCCACTCACCTTATCAACATGAGTAGGATCAGACCCACTCTTCAGTAACAAGTTGTAGACCTCTCCTCCGTCCTTCGCTAATCCACCGTAGAATAGAGGCGTCCTACCCTTCCTATCCTGGGTGTATATAGTGGATTGGTTCTTCTGTATTATCCATTCAACCACCTCCATATTGCCCAAAGCTGCAGCCTGTAACGGGGGCAAGAATGGGCAATGGTTAGGTTGAGGGAAGATTTGAGTTTGTGGGGAAGGTATTATATAAAAAAGGCTTTGTATTATCGACTAAAATGCCGTCATATTGCCCTGAGATGTGGTATGTATTAAGGCAAGAATGGGCAATGGCTATAATGGGTTAGGTTGGTTGATGTGTTGAGGGCAAGAGACGGTAGAAATCACACAAGGGCACAAATTAATCATATCAGACCCCACAAAAGGTATCCAATCCCACAAAAGGCATACCAAATCCCCGTAATCCCACAAATAATAGGATCCAATACCTTATGTAGAGGATTAAGACCGTTCTGATCCTTAGCAATGAGGATCTCAGGCTGATCCACCTTAGCGTCCAGGGTCTCCATGTCACCGTTGAGAGCCGCTTGGTGTACCTCCTTGATCTTGGTCTGTGGGGGTGACAACAACGGGGTTCCTAAAGGTATTGTACTGGGTCCTATGCTGTTTATATTAGCAATAGATGGTGTGGTTGGTGTTATATAGATGGTGTGGTTGGTGTTTATATTGGCAATAGATGGTGTGGTTATCACCCACATTATGATATATTAACAATAGATGTAGTTATATCAAGATTACATTAAGATAACTACTTTGTTTATCACGTATCAGAATGGCGGAACAAACTCTTACCATCATCTTGGGACTACCTGACTCTTACCATCATCCTAGGAACGAGATTCAAGAACTACCTGACTCTTACCATCATCCTAGGAACGAGAGTCAAGAACTACCTGACTCTTACCATCATCCTAGGAACGAGATTCAAGAACTGCCTGACTCTTACCATCATCCTGGGAACGAGATTCAAGAACTACCTGACTCTTACCATCATCCTAGGAACGAGATTCAAGAACTGCCTGACTCTTACCATCATCCTAGGAACGAGATTCAAGAACTACCTGACTCTTACCATCATCCTGGGAACGAGATTCAAGAACTGCCTGACTCTTACCATCATCCTAGAACGATTCAAGAACTACTCCCCACTTCTACCATCATCCCAGGAACGAGATTCAAGAACTGCCTGACTTCTTACCATCATCCTAGAACGAGATTCAAGAACTGCCTCACTCTTTACCATCATCCTAGAACAAGATTCAAGAACCGCCTGACTTTATGTGGTTTCGTCTCTTTTAGTAATCTGTATTCTTCACCATCCAAATTACTAACTAGTTCCAGCTTTGGGGAGGTCCTGGTCAGAATCCAGATCTGGTAATCATAGTGATGTTCATACCTGAGAGAAGAAGGTTATTATACATCTGGTAGGCCTTCGTAAACAATGGCGAGAGAGAGAGAGAGAGAGAGAGAGAGAGAGAGACAAGGAAACAGCCATAGACAGACAGACGCAGAATGAAAACCAAGAGACAAACACAGACACAAATAAACAAGACAGACAGACAGACAGACAGACACCCCCCCACACACAAACTAACCCCCCATCCCCCACACACCCACCTTCTCTCTTCGGTGGGGTCGTGATCTTGCTCACAGGGGAGTTCCTCTTCTGTGGAGTCCTCCGCTTGCCCTTGGAACCACCGCTTCCTTTACTGCCAGACCGCTTGGTGACGTGACGTATATCCTCTGGGTGGGCCATATAGTGAGCCGCTGTCTTGCCCTTATTGTCCTCTACCTGAAGGTGGGGGAGGTACTGTTACTACTATTACTACTACTACTACTACTACTACTACTACTACTACTACTACTACTACTACTACTACTGATTGTTTACATGAGCGTGGAACATTGAATAGATAGGAACGCTCGAACACTCCCCAGCGACCATTCCACATTCTTTGAACATTTCCAGCGACCGTACAAAACATTTCCAGCATCAATAACCACCACAACTACCACAACTACCATCATCAGTTACTACCACAACTACCACAATCACCTCACCTGTGTATCCTCGACAGCTTCACACAGTACTTTATACATATCATCAGGTAGACGACTTGCGGCACAGTAGTGTAGAGGTGAACGGCCATCCTGGTGGGAGACAAGGCACACATTTACTTAACTCTACTTTATCTCTACTTAACTCTACTTAACTCTACTTTTCACTCTATTTCTTGTTTGTGTTCTTCTTCTTCTTCTTCTTCTTCTTTCTCTCTCTCTCTCTCTCTCTCTCTCTCTCTACTTGTTAACCAAGGAGGTCATCCATCATTTGTCAGCCTCAATGACCTCCTGGGTGGTCTGGGCAGAGAGAGAGAGAGAGAGAGAGAGAGAGAGAGAGAGAGAGGGAGAGAGAGAGAGAGAGAGAGAGAGAGAGAGAGAGCGACACACTTTCAGCCGCCCTCCTTATGTGTGTCTGAGTGGCACTTTGTTGTGACCTGTATCTAAGGTGGCATTCCCTGGCACCACACATGACCTACCTTATTCTGGCCCTCCCTCCCTCCCTCCCTCCTTCCTCCCTCCCTCCCTCATTCCTCCTTGCTCCCTCCCTCCCTATTGCCCTCCTCCCTCCCTACTGCCCTCCTCCTTCTTATTCCCCTCCTCCCTCTCTGCCCCTCTCTACTGCCCTCTTCCTTCCCTCCCACCCCCCTTACCCTCTCCCTCCTTCCTCCCTCACCTGACCTAGTGCACCAGGTGAGAGTCTCTATGTTGATGACTTTGAAGGTGTATCAATATTGACTGCTAGAGTGTGTGTCACCCCCCCTCTCTCTCTCTCTCTCTTTTTTTTCTCTCTGTCTGTCCTTGTCCGTATGTAGATATTTAAATGTATGTCTGTGTATATATATATGTACGTATGTATGTATGTTCGTATGGTTATATATAAATAAAACCAAATTAAGTACAAATCCCAGAGTACAAGTATAAATTAGTACACATGTGAGTACTACAAGTCTACAATATCTACAGAATTTCCTCTATTTCTACAAACATATCTACGCCCTCTAGTGGACAGGTGCGTCAACTTACCTGTCATTTACTGTCAATAAACATATCTCTAGTCAAATTACCGCCAGAAGTGGGTGAACGTGTGTTAGTTTAGTCACGACAATAGTTTTTTCTACACGTCAGTATTTCTCACAGCGACCTTAAATACACTCTCTTAGCCCTCTGTTTTTACGTTGTCGTCTTAGAAACCGTAAACTATCGTAGGAGTGAGAATGTGTCAGGTTAGGTTAAGTGGGGTGTGGTGGGGGGTGTAGTGGAGTGGGGGGTGTGGTGGAGTGGGGTGTGGTGGAGTGGGGGTGTGGTGGAGTGGGGGGTGTGGTGGAGTGGGGTGTGGTGGAGTGGGGTGTGGTGGGTGGGGGTGTGGTGGGTGGGGGTGTGGTGGGTGGGGTGTGGTGGGGGGGTGGTGGAGTGGGGGTGTGGTGGGGTGTGGTGGAGTGGGGTGGGGGGGTGTGGTGGAGTGGGGTGTGGTGGGTGGGGTGTGGTGGGTGGGGTGTGGTGGGTGGGTGTGGTGGGTGGGGTGTGGTGGGTGGGGTGTGGTGGAGTGGGGGTGTGGTGGGTGGGGTGGTGGGTGGGGTGTGGTGGAGTGGGGTGTGGTTGAGTGGGGGGGTGTGGTGGAGTGGGGTGTGGTGGAGTGGGGTGTGGTGGAGTGGGGTGTGGTGGGTGGGTGTGGTGGAGGGGGTGGTGGGTGGGGTGTGGTGGGTGGGGTGTGGTGGGTGGGGTGTGGTGGGTGGGATGTGGTGGAGTGGGGTGTGGTGGGTGGGGTGTGGTGGGTGGGGGTGGGTGGAGTGGGGTGTGGTGGGTGGGGTGGGGGTGGGGGTGTGGTGGTGGTGTGGTGGGTGGGGTGGGTTGGTGGGGGTGGTGGGTGGGGTGTGGTGGAGGGGGTTGGTGGGTGGGGTGTGGTGGGGGGATGTGGTGGAGTGGGGTGTGGTGGAGTGGAGGTGTGGTGGGGGGGTGTGGGGTGGGGTGGAGGGGGTGTGGTTGGTGGGGTTGGATTAGATTAGTCGTAAAATGAGTAAAAAGTGGGTCATTATTAGTTCAGTACTAAACCAGGCAGCTGTTATGCGAAATGTTCTAGTTATTGGTTCATATTTGAGCGTTGGGGAGGGGGAGGTAGTTAAGATAGTGTGTGTGTGTGAGTAAGTGCGCGTTTTGTGTGTGTGTGTGTGTGTGTGTGTGTGTGTGTGTGTGTGAGTTAGTGCGCGTGTTGTGTGTGTGTGTGTGTGTGTGAGTTAGTGCGCGTGTTGTGTGTGTGTAAATAATAATAATAATAATAATTAACGGTTTATTGAAAGCTTGGCAGCCAGAAGGCTGAAAATATACAGTTACATATTTGGGGAATGGGTTACGAATTACAAATAATATACAAGTGACATAAGTGACACAAATAAGACATATAGTAACTTAGATGGGGATCAGCTCAAACTACAGTTCATTTCAACATAGTGACAGTGTGTGTGTGTGTGTGTGTGTGTGTGTGTGTGTGTGTGTGTGTGTGTGTGTGTGTGTGTGTGTGTGTGTGTGTGTGCAAGTATATGAGTAAGTGCGCGTGTTGTGTGTGTGTGTGTGTGTGTGCAAGTATATGAGTAAGTGCGCGTGTTGTGTATGTGCGTGTGTAGAGTCTAGTGTGTATGTATGTGCTGTGTGTGGAGTGCGTGTATGTATGTATGTTGTATGTGTGTGTATGTATGTATGTGTGTCCTTTACTATGAGAGAATTCCTTCATGCTGCTTTAACTACGCTCTAACGTCACATGAAGCAATGATTACACCAATTGCTTCAGCCGTGATGCAAATTACCTCAATGACAAGAGCGTAACGAGGAGAACAAAAGGGGTCAGGTCAGGTTAGGTCAAGTCAGGTCAGGTTAGGTCAAGTCAGGTTAGGTCAAGTCAGGTTAGGTCAGGTTAGGTCAAGTCAGGTTAGGTCAAGTCAGGTCAGGTTAGGTCAAGTCAGGTTAGGTTAGATTAGGTTTAAAATCAGGATGGCAAAATCGTTTAAAGTTAAGATGACCTGTATAACAACATCACAACCCGGAAATGTGACCCCTAACAGCCACTACACGACCCGGAACTAGGATAAGTGTCTTGGAAAGTAACTAAGAACCCATTTCCAACCAATTCTCTATTTTGTGACCCGGACTTATTATTGTTTCGCCTCGCATGACAGCTGGTTATATCAGGGTTGAGTTATAGCCTAAACCGAGCGTAAGAGGGCTAGATCAGGGTTCACTATAGCGAGAGAGAGAGAGAGAGAGAGAGAGAATTCTGCATTGGCGATAAATAAACCATGTATGTATGTATGTATGTTTGTATGTATGTATGTATGTATGTATGAAAATGCCTTATTACAGCATATACATAAACCATACCATACACTATACATATCAATTAAATAATTAAAAAAATACACACACACTCGTATACACTTCTCCGTATACAAAAATTATCTTAAGTATATAAAGAAATACAAATATACCTAAACCCTATAGTATACAAGGTAATATGTATGAGTTATGTATGTTTTAAAGAATCATACATAATATACATACTGGTGGGTGTATACATGGACCTTCCTGGTATTCATTTTTTTCCCTCCAGGATGAACTAAGATCGAGTAGCTTCACATTATTGATTTCCCATAATATAAAGTTCAAATATCTTCAAATCTAAGCTAAAATGACTTAAAATAATCCAACTAGTTTAAGTATTATATTATTTACGTTTATTATAAGTTAAATAAGTTCAATAAACTCTAAGATTTGTTGTGAAATATTTCGTTAGTGATAATAAATTAACACGCGTCGTACTTCATCCTGGGGGGAGAAAATACGCCTTTGAACCACGCCTTGGCAATGTTTGTTTACATCGTAGTCATGACCACCGCTGTGTTCTGATTCTGGCCACGGCATCGACTTCCTCTTAAACTCTTCCACGTCATCCAAACATGCACTTACTTAAAACAGCTAAAAGTTCAAGTAATTATACACTTAGATTTATTACTAAAAAAAAACCCAGTCATAGCAATTTAACTTCCATTGAGTGTCGTGTTTGAAGAATCGAAGTCACTTTAAGGGATTGGAATAATGATTTGTTTCTACTCGAATATTCGTTAAGTGCTTTAAAAGGAAGACGTTTTTATTTAATATTCCGAATCGTTGCGAAATATTGAGTTGAGATTATTATTATTATTATTATTATTACAACAGGTGGAAATACTATTGCCAGTCTCCCTCCCCCTCTCTCTCCCCGTCCCCTCCCTCCCCCTCTCACTCCCTCCCTCCCCGTCTCCCTCCTTCTCTCCCTCCCCCTCACCCCTCTCACCCCTCCCTCTCAACACACAGTACCGCCAGCCATTCACTCAATAGCCATAAATAATGTATAACCTCCAGGGCAGTGCCACCCACCTTGGCACTCACCAACCCATCCAATTTGGCACCTTATATGTTTGGGTTCTGTCTGTCTGTCTGTTTGGTTCTGTCTGTCTGTCTATCTGTTTGTGACTGTCTGTTTCTGCCTCTTTCCCTTAATATCCTCCTCCCTCCCTCCCCTCACTACACCTCACCATTATTACAAGACACGGTTGTATAATCATCACTACAGACTTGACACGTAACTTAACCTTCCCGTGTGTACATAACCGTGTGTACATAACCGTGTGTACATAATCGTGTGTACGTAACAGTGTGTACGTAATGTATGTTGTTAGTTTTATAAGGTCAGTTAAATAACTTATCAATATTTTGTATTTATTTAAAGAAAATATCAATAATACATAAGTTCATGTATACTTGAAAACATACAAGGGTTTATCTTGGTATACATGTAAATACACAGTCATGTATTACGACCACACGTGTATGATTGTTGTTGTTGTTGTTGTTGTTATTATTATTTCAACATTCTCTTAATTATTGTGTTAATAAAGTGTATCTAATTAATGGTATAGTCTCAATACAATATGACCGCCATTTTGGTTATAGAAAACGACACACACACACACACACAACAAGTGATGCGGGTTGCTTCCTTTCCCACATAAGTAGCTCTTAAGTTAACGTGTATGATAAGTGAGGTAAGCATCGTTTTAAGT